CCTCGTCGTCCTCGTCGTCCTCGCGGAAGGCCTTGCTCAACTGCGACCCGCGATCCACAGTGTTCTCTGCCGGACCTCAACCACGACCATCCACGCCCAGTGTTCCCTGCCGGACCTCAGCCACGACCATCCACGCCCATTGTTCCCTGCCGGACCTCAACCACGACCATCCTCGCCCAGTGTTCCCTGCCGGACCTCAACCACGACCATCCACGCCCAGTGTTCCCTGCCGGACCTCAACCGCGAGTATCCACACCAAGTGTTCCCTGCCGGACCTCATGTATGAAGATATGGGACAAAGAATGTGCAGAAGAAAGTTAGAAAGAATGTCAGAAGATATGCCAGATAGAATGCCAGAAGATATGTCAGAATATATGCCAGAAGATATGCCAGATAGAATGCCAGATAATATGCAAGAAGATATGCCAGATAGAATGCCAGATAGAATGCCAGAAGATTTGCCAGATAGAATGCCAGAAAATATGCCAGAAGATATGCCAGATAGATATGCCAGAAGATATGCCAGAAGATATGCCAGAAGATATGCCAGAAGATATGTCAGAATATATGCCAGAAGATATTTCAGATAGAATGCCAGAAGATATGTCAGAATATATGCCAGAAGATATGCCAGATAGAATGCCAGAAGATATGTCAGATAGAGTGCCAGAAGATATGCCAGATAGAATGCCAGAAGATTTGCCAGATAGAATGCCAGAAGATATGCCAGAAGATATGCCAGATCATATGCCAGAAGATATGCCAGATAGAATGTCAAATAGAATGTCAAATAGAATGTCAGAAGATATGTCAGATAGAATGCCAGAAGATTTGCCAGTAAGAAAATGTATAAATGTCATGGTGGGGATCACACGAAGTAAAGTAATTAAAATAAAGTATGTTTTTTTGGCTATATGTCACCACATTTTTCAACATACTGGGTTTCTAGGAAAAAATGAACAAAAAACTAGTTTTGTAAGTTTTCATAAGTCCGAGCTAAGTACTTTTTTTTTTACTTACGTAAGTTTTGCAACTAGTACTTATAACGAGATATAAGTAAAAACCTGACACTATAGTAGATTAAGCCAGGCACGAGCCGAATCAACAGCAAGCGCGTCACGGCCAGAACCAGGTGGCTTCAGAGAAGGTGCAGCAGGGTAGTGCGCCAGCTTGGCTGTGGTGTAGAAAGCAGAAGCAATCGGAGAGGCTTGTCGGCAGAGTGTCCTCGGCGGGTATCTCGGACATCACCGAATCACCGACACACATTTCTTTCCGCCAGTTCGTTTGTGCTTGGCAACTTGGCATACATAATCATTGTGGTACTCTGATAGCCCAGCTGCGCCAAAGGTAGCGAATCGCTCCAAAGCCCTTGGAACAGCACGCCAGTCCCCGTCGAGGCTCGCCACCCCAACCTGCAGAAAAAACACATGCGAAAACAAGTTCAAAACACGGAACGATTTACAAAGCGAGGATTCAGAAAATCGCTATATTTGTCCATTGACATGGGCAACAGCTGCTGTATACGAAATGCATCTGCAAAACGTCACAATGTGACATGGAAAGGTACAAGTACTTCAGACTTCAGCAATCCAGAATATCCGGCCTTTCCTCCGGTTTGGAAGCAACATTAAGCCCCCCAATTATGGCTCACCCCAGACCAGTCTAGAACCAGCAGATTTTTGCCGGTATTACAGCAATTAAATAATCGTCCAGTCTATTTTACATTGGGGTTACAGTTTAGCAGCGAATCAAAATTGGGTGTGGCACGTTCCGCAATGTTCCGGATGTATGGAAGGAGTGTAGGCTTCCTAGCAGTTCACCACCACCCTCAACATGGCCCGGGCATGACCCCAGAAAGGCGTGTTCCTTTAGGCCTTTAGGGTTAAGAGAACACATTGTTCTTGGCCCAACATAGGCTCAACATGGCCCCAACATGCCCCCCCAAGAGCCCAACATGCAACAACATAGGCCAACATAGGCCCAACATGGCCCCAACATGACCAAACAACGGCGTGTGCATTTGGGCCTTAGTGCCAAGGCCCAAATGCACACGCCATTCTTGGCCCAAACTACGCCCCAACATGGGCCCGCAAGAGCCCAACATGGACCAACATGGGCCCAACATAGGCGCACATAGGCTCAACATGGCCCCGACATGACCCCAAAACAGCATGTGCATTTGGGCCTTAGTGCCAAGGCCCAAATGCACTACGCCCCAACATGGGCCCGCAAGAGCCCAACATGGACCAACATGGTCCCAACATAGGCGCACATAGACTCAACATGGCCCCGACGGCATGTGCATTTCGCCTTCGTGCCAAAGCCCAAATGCACATGCTGTCGTTGGCCCAACATGGCTCCAAAACCCTGCGCTCCTTGAAGCTCTTAAATCAATGCTGCAAGGAGCCCCCGTGATTTGGACCATCCAGGGCCCAACCGTGGATCGACATAGGCCCAAGATAGGCTCAATATAGGCCCAACGTGGCCCCGACCTAATCCCAAAAAGGCGTGTTCCTTTGGCCGTAAATTCAACATAGGCCCAACATGGCCCCAACATGGCTCCAAAGAGCCCAAACATGGGCCCAACATAAATGGCAAAAAAATATCCTCAACATGGCCCATCAAAAAAACATAGATCCCACATAAGCCTAACATGGCCCCGACGTGGCCCGAAACAGCGTTCATCTGGCCCTTAGTGCCAAGGCCCAGTTAGCTTCCTGGCCCAACATGGGCTCAACGTAGGCTCTACATGGCCCCGACATGGCCCAAAACCGCGGGGTCATTTTTGTCATTGACGCTCTTAAATCAAAGCTTAAATTATTATTCCCCCCCACATAGGTTCAACATAGGCCCAACATGGACCCAACATGGCCCTCAAGAGCCCAACATCGACCAACAAAGGTATGGAACAGAGGTATATGGAACAAATGGAACGGAGGTATGGAACAAGGGTCTGGAACAATGGTACGGAATGGGTGTACGAATCGTGTGGTGTCCCCCGGACCTGTTCCGGACCTTGTAATTTGACTCGCATCCATCTCGTGTTACGGTCCCGAACTGATTTTCGTAAAAACAGAAATCCCATGGCACCACTACTGGGAAACTAATTTGAACACAGCAAGCCCCTCATGGAGGTTGTCATTATAACGCAGCCGTGCGGCAGATGGGTTGCATTGCCAAAAGGCAAGTTGCGCGACAAATGCCATCCAGCCATGTCCTTGCTGGTGGTCCATGTTGCTTGCAGCATGCCTTCCATGTTTTCTCCTGGCGGCACACCTTTCAACTGCAACGCGTGCATTGCCCGATCTACTACACATCTTGTGGCTCCTTGGACTAACGACAACGGACAGAGGCCACGGACGACAGCGTACCCAAACTCACGAAGCTTCGTGAGCAGCATGTCCTCACTCCCACCTCCTGTTCGCCATGTCACCAATGGCAGCTCCTGTCATTGCAATGCGTGCTTATCACTCAATTGATTTTTTTCAGCCAACGCTTACTTTCCCCTTTTTTAGGAATGAGCAAGTTGCATATGATCAGATGGTTCAGGCGTGTACATGAGTTGGCTTACATGCCTTCTGTGGCATGATCGTTGCAACTAGACTTCGAAAAGGAAAAATATGAGAAGCCCCATCCCAAAGTCAAATTCGTTCATCCCGCCCTCGGACGGGCTTTGAGCAGCATATCCTGAACGTCGGCCTTTGCCAGCGACTTTGGCAATGCGGTCTTGCTTTTGCTCGATCTTTTTGCCTTTCAATCATGTCACTGTGTGATTACGTTGATTACATTTTCTCAAACAGCAGAAAATCTAATCGGAAGGAGTTGAATTCCGCACCCAAAGAATCTGAGGAACCCACTTCAAAGTGCACAGCCAGCAAGTCACCAGTCTCCCGAGAAAAAAGGGAAGCCCGGTCGTCGCCACTTGGGCAACCCAAGCTCTCTTGTGCTTCTTCCACAGAAACGGTCTTCACTTCTAATATTCTGAAAGGTCCTAAACGATCCTTTGAATATCCTTAGCTACGCACTGTGTTCGAAGGCAAATGAGCACAGTCCCTGCTGTTTAAATTACTTCACTTCGAATGATCCCCACCATGACATTTATACATTTTCTTACTGGCAAATCTTCTGGCATTCTATCTGACATATCTTCTGGCATTCTATCCGGCATTCTATCTGGCATATCTTCTGGCATATCTTCTGGCATATGTTCTGGCATATCTTCTGGCAAATCTTCTGGCATTCTATCTGGCATATCTTCTGGCATTCTATCTGACATTCTATCTGTCTGACATATCTTCTGACATTTTTTCTGGCATTCTATCTGGCATATCTTCTGACATTCTATCTGACATATCTTCTGACATTCTATCTGACATATCTTCTGACATTCTTTATGGCATATCTTGTGACATTCTGTCTGGCATATCTTCTGACATTCTTTCTGACAGTCTTTCTGGCATTCTATCTGGCATATCTTCTGACATTCTATCTGCCATCTTTTCTGGCATTCTTCCCGTTGAGGTCCGGCAGTGCCCACTGCGATCTGGAAGTCGCGGTTGAGGTCCGGCAGTGCCCACTGCGATCTGGAAGTCGCGGTTGAGGTCCGGCAGTGCCCACTGGGATCTGGAGCTTGCGGTTGAGGTCCGGCAGTGCCCACTGGGATCTGGAGCTCGCGGTTGAGGTCCGGCAGTGCTCACTGCGACCTGGAAGTCGCGGTTGAGGTCCGGCAGTGCCCACTGCGATCTGCAACTCGCGGTTGAGGTCCGGCAGTGCCCACTGGGATCTGGACTGCGAGGAGGAGGAGGACGAGGAGGAGGAGGAAGGGGAGGGGGAGGAGGAGGAGGAGGAGAACAGCTCTGATAAAATCTAACAAGCCTCACCTGGCAGGTGGGGAAAAACAGACAGACGCCAACACGAGACACAATCAAAAAATATACCTATAGAAGCACACAGCATGGGGATAGACCACTCCCTGGACAGCAACTGTGCACAACAGCCAGCGCGATGAGAACGTAGCGGCAGGAGAACGAAAACTGCATATGTTAATGCCGGCCAAGGGATTGAAATAGAAACGTTGTGGCATCTCCCTTCAGGAGGGGCCCCAGGGGTTGGGAGCCCCATTTTGTAAGTACAGAATGGTGTCCCCAAGGTGCATTTCTTACAAAATGGCAAAGCCCAACGTTCACACGCATCAGATTTTATTACAAAATGGTGGGCCAGGGTGACCCCTAGTACAGAATGGTAACCGTTTTTTGTGCGAGTCGCATCCGCTCGCATCCGTTGGCTGGATTTTGGCCCTTACAGAATGATCGGGCATGAAGCGAGCTATTTCGTGGGTTCCCCAACAATCCCTTATAGGCTTCAACCTCGAGGCGACTCGACCACGATCATGATCTCCACTGGATCGTCTCCTTTTTTCGTGCTGTTGTTCAAAGCAGTTCTAGTTTTTGCCAGGGTTTGTGTATATATATATAAATATAATATGTTTTCTGGCTGTCGTGTTTAGAAAGAAACAAATAGATTTATATTCATATTCTAGTTCTATTTGTTTAAGTTTTACCCTGGTTATATATATATATATGTGTGTGTGAGTGTTTTGCTTTTTTTTTCCACGTTTCTTCTCGCTTTTGCTTTGGTTTATATATGTTTCTATATGCATGTATATATACATAAAAATATTCTAGTTTTTGCCCTAGTTTTTAACCTTATTTTTTTAGGAGCTCTATGAAATCCGATTGGTGGTTGAGCCACCGAAAGAAATTGGAAACATAATCGCAATTATTCAGGACCTGAGCGCGCGATGTTTTTTCATTTTTCTATTGGTCCGGACCATTTTGTAATATTCCGTGCGGTCTTTGAATTTTCCTTGCGGACTTGTGGAGCAGATTGCCTCTGCATTCCTAAAATGTTCTGTGTCCCTAAGTATGACTGAGCCATGTTTTGTTTACTGTCTCTTTCCCCTTTCTCTTTTCAAAAGCGCTGAGAAATAACCATGTTGGACCCCTTTCCAGATAGTGCTCATGACCTGAGCGTGCCTTGGATTTTCATGGGTTCTTTGGCCCTGACCATTATGTGATGGAAGAATTTTGCCTCAGATTCTGTAACAAAAACTTCAACGGGGATGTTGTGGCCAAATGGTGTCTAGACTCCATTGGAGAAGGTCACATAAGACGCCTTTTCAAGTCGCTTTTGCCAGTAGGGCTCATTCTTC